GTCCCTCCACGCCCGGGGGATAGCAACGCCCGTTTGTGTGTGTGTGCGTGTGTGGGTGTGTGCGTGCGTGCGTGCGTGCGTGTGCATGCGCGCGTGTGTGCATGCGTGCGTGTGTGCGTGCGTAACTGCAGAACGATCCACGTATCTGGATCGGCGGGAGTTCGTGGCGTACATTTAACTGGTCGTCGTTGTCGTACATGTTTAAGGTTCGTGCTTGTCAACACGGAGGCGCATCGATGTCTGTGTTCGGTACAGCCACGCCACGAGGACAGTCGCAGGGAAGGTAATCACGCTCTGCCTGGCTTCAGTTTTCATCCAGCCTATGTACTGAGATATAAGGGTAGGAGGGAAGAAAGCGAGAAAGAGAAAAAGAAATAGAGAGAGTGGTAGTGGAGATGGATTGGGAGTGGGTGAAAGAGAGGTAAGGGAGAGAGAAAGTGTTTTTGTGAGAGAGGGAGAGGTAGATACTGCAGGTGAGGGAGGGTGATGGTGAAGGGGGAGGGAGGGCTGAAGCAGGCAAGGAGGGAGGGCTGAAGCAGGGAAGGAGGGAGGATGCGAGAGGTGTTTGTGAGCGTGTGTGCTTGCGTGCGAGAGAGCGCAAGAGAGAGGGAAAAAAATTGACAAAGAGAGAAAAAGAGAGCGAGACACACATAGAGAAGAAAAGAGAAGAGGAGAGACAAAGAGAGCGAGAGAGACAAAGAGAGGAAGAGAGACAAAGAGAGGGAGAGAGACAAAGAGATGACAAGACAATGGAGAAGCTCAGATTATAGTCATTATAAATGTCGAGCTCGTCTGTTCTCCTAATAATGAATATAACGAATATAATGAATCTAATGAATCTAATGCATATTATAATGAATATAATGAATATAATGAATATAATGAATATAACGAATATAATGAATATAATGAATATAACGAATATAATGAATATAATGAATATAATGAATATAATGAATATAATGAATATAACGAATATAATGAATATAATGAATATAACGAATATAATGAATTCTCGTTTAAAGATAGTTTCATGTTTCAGGTTCTAATCTCTCGTATACACGACGTAGAGCTATACTGAGGTCCTTCTACAAGCACACCATAGGCCATGTATATGCACCGCCGCGATTAAAAGACGACCCTAATTTAGGTAAGATCTCTTCCAGACCCCCAACACCTTACCCTACCGCTCTTGACTAGCCTGGCGAGATCATGCGCTCTCCGCTTTAATAATCTCGATAAATTATTCAAGAACGAAAGACGGTTGAAATGCAAAAAGAATGCGAGAGAACGGTTTTATTGCATTCTGCGAATCGGAGAAAAAAGTCGGGGAAAATTTTTAAAATGTAGCAAATCATTTTAAGGTGGCCAATCCTTTTAATTCGTACCGTTGCTGCACCTGCTGCTGAGTCATACTGCAAGTGGGTTTATCGTATTGATGGCGAACATACATGTTGTGCTGTATCTAAATCTTGCCTGTTCTGTTACTGACAAGGTGTTGTGTGAAAATCTTCGTATATTGGCCACCTGCTACTGACAACGTGTTGTGTGAAAATCTTCGTATTTGTTGCCCACCTGCTACTGACAATGTGTTGTGTGAAAATCTTTGTATGTTGCCCACCTGTTACTGACAGGGTGTCATGGCAACACCTTGTATACGTCATGCTACTGATAGTCAGTGTTGTAGTCGAGTCCGCACCCCCCCCCCCTCCCCGAGTCTGCGTCCATATGACCATTTATATAACAGACTAACAGTATCAGTAGCTCTCTCACTACTAATCCACAGTGTTGGAGTCTGAGTCCGCACCCCCCCGAGTCTGAGTCCGAGTCCGATACCGTGCCACCCGAGTCCGAGTCCAAGTCCAGTTTTGATAAAAAAAAAAAAGGAAAAAATTGGAAAAAGGGGAAAAATCTGGAAAAATCGGAAAAAAGGGAAAAATCCCAAAAAAAAGGCAAAAATCGCAACAGTGCATCCATCGTAGACATTCGAAAGTTTATAGTCAGCCGAAAACACAGAGCCACGAGTCATACGAAATGTGTCAAAGTAACTGATCCATTTGTGTTTTACGAGAATGACACGGCTTGTTGAACCAAATGAGAGAGTGCTAGTACCTTCGAAGTGGTAGAAGAAGAGAAAGAAGTGGTAGAAAAAGCGCAAAGGGACGAAGTGACAGCAGATTCAAACCAAAGGGACAAGAATCTTAATCGAGCCATTGAAAACGCCATTGATCAGTCTCAAGCGTGCCTCAATAGAATCAGTCGCAAGCGTGCCTCATAGGGTTAGTCTCAAGCATGCCTTAGTGGGGGGTCAGTCTCCAGCACGCCTCATAGGGTTAGTCTCAAACACGCCTCCGTGGGGCTCAGTCTCCAGCACGCCTCATAGGGTTAGTCTCAAGCGTGCCTCAGTGGGGCTCAGTCTCCATCATGCCTCATAGGGTTAGTCTCAAGCGTGCCTCAGTGGGGGTCAGTCTCCAACACGCCTCAGTTGAGTCGTTGCGTGTTTGTGCTTCAGGTCCGACGGACGACATCAGCGAGCGACTGCTGCATCGGCCGCAGGAGACGTACATGCTGTTCGACGCGTACAAGTGCTACTCTCTGCAGACTGCCGTCTACCGGCTCTTCGTCCTCTACGGCGCGCAGATTCCACACTACGCTCTCAGGTGAGCGAAAACTTCGTTAGAGTCGTGTTCGATGTTCGTCGCTATTGCCAGTTAGAGATTTTGCCATGTCCCCGGCTTCACGTATAGAGTATCCACCGGGTTCTCTCTCTCTCCTTTCGATCTCTCTGTCTTGCTTGCTCTCTCTCACTCTTGCTCTCTTTCTCTCGCTCTCTCTCTCTCTCGGTCTCTTTCTCTCGCTGTCTCTCTCTCTCTCTCGCTCTCTCTCTCCCTCTCTCTCTTCCTCTCTCCCTATCTCTCTCTCTGGCTTTTCATCTCTCACGGTATCTCTGTCCTTTTTGCTTTCTCTCGCTCTTGCCATTTTTCTCTGTCTCTCTCTCACACCCTCTCTTGCTCTTCATCTCTCTCAGTCTCTCTCTCTTTTGCTTTCTCGCTTCCTCTTGCTTTTCATCTCTTTCTTTCTCTCTCTCTCTCTCTCTCTTGCATTCTCTGCGTCTCGGTCTCCTCTCTCTTTCCCGGGGCACACAGCCAGACGAAGCATCGGAGGCGAAACACGTTTTGCTCGACGTTCAGGTGGTTTTGTCCTGCGGGTGTGTCTCTCCTCGTCTCCTCTCGTCTCTCTCTCGTCTCTCTCTCTCAGTCATCTCCTGCGTCGGTATGCGCCTCTCTCCTCTCTCTCTCTTTCTCTTCCTCTCTCTCTCTCGTCGTCTCTTGCTCGTCGTCGTCCCTCTCTCTACTCGGTGTGTGGTCTGCTCTGTTTTTGTAGGCGCTGGGATGACTGCTCTGACTCTCTCGTCTCTCTCTGCGAGCTTCTTCTCTCTCAGTCTGTTTCACGTTCTCTTTTTCAGTTCTCTCGCCTCTCGTCACTCTCGTGCTCACATCTCCTCTCTATTCCTCTCTCCCTCTCTCTCTGGCTTTTCATCTCTCACAGTATCTCTGTCCTTTTTGCTTCCCTCTCTCTCACCCTCTCTTGCTCTTCATCTCTCAGTCTTTCTCTCTTTTGCTTTCTCGCTTCCTCTTGCTTTTTATCTCTCTCATTCTCTCTCTCTCTCTTGCTTTTCATCTCTCTCATTAATTCTCTCTGTCTCTGTCTCTGTCTCTCTCTCTCTCTCTTCTTCTCTCTCTCTCTCTCTCTCTTGCTTTATTCTCTCATTTCTCTCCCCTCTCTCTCTCTTTCTCTCTCTCTCTCGCTCCCCCCATCTCTCACTGTCTCATGCAGCCCATACCGATTGAATTTTTCAGGTCTGTGACACGAAAGACGCTTGAAATACTCACCAAAGACAAACAAGTGCGGTTGTAGCACAGTGACGCCATCTGGTGGCCATTTAATAAGGGCGCAAGTGCAACGCGTGTTCTCATACGGCACGGTGATATTAACAAAGTAAACATCATAGTGTCAGACTGTGTACACTGTTTGAATCAAAATGCCAACATATCTGTTCGTGCTTATGTACAGTGCTTTTGATTCTGAACAACTGTGCGTTTAGAATGATAGCGATGTCTTTATCAGAGAAAATACTTCCACTCCGGTTCATCTTGTACATGCATCTTGTAGATTAGCGAGATTTTTCTATTGTAAATATTGTTTACATCTATGCGAATGGATTCTGTATATATTGTATAAATTGCACTACCCTAAATGAATTGTTTTCACGGGGTAGTTGCATTTGTTCAAAATGTGTTAGATATTTTTTGCTGATTATTTTTTATGATAATATAATTAATTAATATGAATAAATTATTTAGTATTTGATATGAAATGTCTTTTTTATTTTCCATATTACATTAAACTCGTATATTGTGTGAATTTTGTCATGAATTGCCCTCAAAGGTGCAATGTTACACAGAAATAATAATGTAACTAAAACATACTCCCGACAGTAGGAATTGTTAAGATTGAATTTTTTTATTTTACTTGAAAAATGTACATCAGTTTATCAATAATCCAATTAATCGTTTACAAAAACATCGCACTCATAAATTTTAGAAGAAGATGCGCAAAGGTAGAACGGTAGTGGCATTGCGATTGCTCGGTAAATAATGCAACTGAAATATCAGCCGATATCTCGCTGTAGCTTTATCACACGATTCTTCCCATTTCCCCAAATCAGATTTGTTTATTAATGTAAAGCACTTAGTTTCACAAATCATGGCATCATTGCGACAGACCACAGCGAATGTAATCGAGTGTGAAACGACTTCTACCGAGTAAACATAGAGTAGATACGCACCTACTCGGTGTATAATCCCGCCTCACACACAGACAGCCTTCTCCATACCATGTACTAGTTATATACACGTTGTTATATATATATATTACAGCAGGAGTAAATTATGATGATAGCGTCGGTACTAGAGACCTTTTATTATGCTTTAGAGTAGCGTTTTGTTGTCTCGTAACTCGCTGATATTGTGATTTCTATGGAGTTTGTAGATACGGACTTTCTACGCACAGACTCCCGCTTGGTGGCGCTGTGTTGCACAGCAACCACGCCGCGTGCGTCTGCTCATCCTATTTGCACTGCTAACTACACAACAGTTAGCAGAGGATATTTCTTTCTCCCACCAAAACCTCTACCGCCAATACCCACCATCTCAGTCAGACACGTCCAGTCATGGTAATACTTTCCCCGTTTCCGTTGTAGGAATTCATTTATAATTTTTTTTTTAGAATTAGAGCGTAATAACATGTCGCAACACCAACACCGTTCTGTACAACGTAATTTACCCAGGCACCAACACCATACTGTACAATCACATGCTGGCAGGTAGCGAGTAAGAGATTCCATGTTAAGACGACCTAAGATGCGCAGCGTCGGACATGCAACGTAACCCAGATCATTTCTACAATCTGACCCGAAATTCGCTGCTCCTCACGCGTACAGTTTCCCGCGTGTGCGACGCTCCCTCTACATGCGATAGCGTAGTCCGTCGTTGGGGCTGAGAGGGTCTATGTCCCCCAGGGTACTGCCGGAACGTACCCTGGTGCTATCTAATATGCCGGACCGTACCTCGCCTACTCCACTAACGAGTCTAGGGAGTCGCCTACGCCTACACCCTAATCCTAACCATATCAGATAGTTACCAGGGTACGTTCCGTTATACCGGACCGTACCCAGGGTACCCTCCGATAGTACCTTGGGGGACATAGACCCTATGAGCGTCGCTGGGAGCAGGGGACCACGCTATCGTAGACATTGCATTGCCTCTAGCGATCGCTTCGCATCAACAGAGAGTCTCTTTCTCGCGACTTCTGAATACCAGTTATACAAGAGACGGGCGGTAAAATAAACGCGCGGTCCATCCTAGAACCCCTTGCTACGGCACGGACACCCATGGCGTAGCAAAGGGCCACGGTATATATACACCTGCGGCGTACGTCGTTGCGTGTAGGTACAAATATGTAAGCCAGCAGAGTGGCTTAGAGATCGAACGTAGTAACTCTTATCTGTTGAGTGACATTTTTGTATCTTCGCGCGGGGTGCGCGTGTCCAGCCACCGTTAGTACGTGGAGTCAGATGGAGACCAGCAAGAGGCTCGATAGGGGCTTCAACAGGGTTGCGGAATATCAAACCAAGCATTCGTCTTTTCCTCGCAGACTTCTAGCTCTAGCACTACTGCCTTCATTGCTCCACATTCAAAATCAATGAAGGTTATAGTCTTAGAACTAGAAGTCTGCCATACTCATTTCTTTATTTGAACGCCACAAGGAATCGTAGACGGAAATGGGGGGGGGAATTAACGCAGGAAATCGTTTGGCATTATGCTGTCGCTGACAATGCCTGACAGTATTTACAAGTTTCGTGTTTTTTTTTACGTTTTTTACGCTGACTACTCACAGTTGTTTGATATTCCTCTGCTAAATGCCCTTACCTGCTCTTCTGCTTTTCTGCTACACGCACTGCAAGCAATAACTTAGTGCCCGTAAGAATGATGCGCAACTGCTGCACTCTATCGGGTTAGAGCTGTGTGTTCTCACCAGCCTGCAAGAGAGGTAGACGAGACAACATTTCATGTTTTGTCTCTCTATCGCTGAGTGCGAGAAGAACGTAACCGCGTGCCCCTACTAGAACAGGCTGACAGTGCAACCCTCTATTTGGGAATGCACTCTTGGCTTTTGCGAATGAGAAACAGTACATTATGCGGTGATGCAAGTGAAACAGTGAACATCCCTATAATTATAGCGTGTATTGGCTGACAAGGGGCAAGTGGCAATGTGACAAAGCAAGCAAGCTCTAGCACCGTGGGCCATGTTTTACACATGTCACTCACATCGGTTCGCCATAATTATGTTTCACGCGCGGTCTTCCTTCTAATCAACCTGCGAAAGGTCCCGCACACCGAATTGTGTCAGGCGCAACGATATAAACTGCAATTTTATTTCACTTGGTATCTATTATTGCATCGACAAAGAAAAACAACCTACGTACACAAATATACCATGTAAATATATATATATTTCTATATTTCAACATTGACTTTATGAACCCCACAATTATTAAGCCAGCCTGCACGCATACATTCAATATATATATATATATATATATATATATATATATATATCTTGAAATAATAGGTTGAGGCTGTTGAGGGAATATATTGCATAAATCGAAACAAAATCGGACAAATGTCAAATTTCGGAATCAGGTTTTCGAGTACTGTATTGAAATCCTATGTGCGCTAGAGAGTAAACGTGTATATTTCTAATACTGGGGGCCTAAGCTGCAACAGTGATTGCACGTCTGTGTATGCCTATTCTGCATATATTCTGCATCACCCTTGACCTCTATAAATTTGTTTGAACTACAATCGCATTGAGTGAGCAACAGATTCAGACTCTAATGTCATTTGCACTAATAAGGAGGTAAACATGGCGAAAAGAAATAAAAACATGTAATATTAACTAACAACTACGTCGTATTAAAATGATTGAATAAACTACTGCTATATTTAATTAACATTTACAAAAATCGATTCGAAAATTTTCCGGTTATGTACAAAGTTTGTCTATCTACATTGTGGTGTTAGAGTTTTAACTGATAGAATGTTGCCTTACAGGGCACTACGATCAAATGACATCGAGATTACGATGGTGGTACGAGTCTGCAGTTATGTAGTGACTGCATTATGCTATCATGAGATACTGCGCTTATCTATGCAACAATTCCAAAACGCTATAACGTGCAAGTATGGGAGCGGGGAGTGTGACAGGATTGTATAGGTGACAGCTAGGGAGCACCAGACATCCCAGGTCTAATATCATTCTTATTTTAACGTTTCGAGTTTAATTATTTTTTTGTTATTGGTAATTTCTTGGGTTTTTTTACTGGATGCAAATTCCTTTATATATAGTGACAAAACCTTTGCTGTATTTAGTTTATAACTCAACTGCGGACGCATTGATAAGAGTGAAGCGTCCCGCTATTTAGTTGATACTTAACGTTTTATGTTATATAACGTATATCACTTAACGTTTATAAAACAACACGTTTTCTTTTTACGTAAACATGTGTACCATGGCTCGCACACATATTAGTACAGGCTTTTACTTCCCCTATCGTGCACTATGTAGCGGGGTTGAGCATAGCTGGCACCCCCTGGAGTGTAGGCAGGATGGCGGGAGTGGCCAGGCGGGGGCATGGTTGCGTATGGATGCACTTGCATGTACGGAGAAGTGGTGCCTGGGTGGCTACCATTACTGACTTTTGTGCCGGAATAGTAGCTTCCTGGTGCGCTGGACTTGGGGCGGCCATAGTCATCCTGCATCGAGAAAGCCTGATACGCCATGTTGTCGTCTGCGTGTCGCTTGTTGTCATAGATACTGTTGTCCTTGGTCCCATTTATAATCTGAAATGACACGCATCGTATTTGTGATACACTGTAGATACATTGTATCAATTAAGAGCGTATATAAAATCCACATTTGTTAACGTCTTAGCAAAGCTTCTGCGAGCGGTATATATTAAGTCCCTGCTTTAAACGTAGCAGTAGCAATTTTTTTTAAATTATGACTTACCACTTATGCTCAATCCAGAAGGTTAGCAATAAAACGTGATAGTACCACATTAGCGACATTTGAAGCGAAATTCAATATTCACATAACACAACTATTAAATACAACATTGTACTAACATGAAAAACTATACACGTTCTGCACATAATATTACATCACAATATTACAGTGCTATTTACCTGTACTAACACAACTCGTACATATATACACATGTATACATTATATATACACAAAGTTTAATACTAAATATATTACTCTTCATAAAAAATGCAATAAAAATAAAAGCCCTCACATATTTCGACAATTATTTGTAATATATACACTGTGAATGACGCTGACTGTCATGCAATGGACGGAAGTGGACTCACACGCAAACTAATACACAACTACGTACGGCGAATGTTTTATGTACTGGTGATATCAATATTTTCTGTGTAAAAATCTCTCCCGGTGTTGAACACCTTTACGTACATAAATATCTCTAACTGCACGACAAGTTGCATTCTTTCGCGACTTTTGATATTTCTTCAAAGTTGAACCTCGTAGATTGTATAATATACAACATCTAAATATAATTATTTCTGGATTTACAAGTGTGATCGGGGATACGCTTAAACCGCACGTACTAAACGTAAGCAATTTCTTTTTTTAAATCGTCAGTTACATGCGCGATTGTTCACGTGAGAATATGAGATACGAGACAGGGCCGAAAATAGCGGAAGTTGGGGCAAAGAGGGACATGGCCTTTGGCGAAATGCCTACGACCAACTGCCAAGTATATCAATCGCGCGTGGGTTCGCCCTTCCCCAAAGAAAAAACGAGTTAGCTATATAGCCCCCTTGAAGAAAGGAATTGGTGCGTAAATGTGTTCATCTAGTCGCTATGTTCGCTGCTTTCTAACTTAGTTCTTTAGCGGGATTGGTATACCGTGTTGGCGTGTGGCAGTGTTGGCATACCGGAGTGGAACATAGAAGTAATAACGACTGTGTTATATACACATTAGCTGGCCCATAAAATTTTTTTATTTTTTCCCGAACTCAGGTGAAGACCGAGTGAACCAGCAAAGTTACGAGGCCGAGAACACATAAGGGAAGTCGTTTAGTCGGAGTCACAGACCAATGTTAAGTTGGTGTGTCTGCCGCTTGTGGCGCCACTTTGTTGGTTGGTGAGGTTGGTTGCATTGCCGTTCCCGCTCCGGGACCACTTACCATTCCTGCCTCTCGCTTAGCCTGATATTCGCGGTGGTACTTGCAACAGGCGAGCAAGATGGCGACGATCACAAGGAGTGCAACGCCTCCTATGACCGAGTATGCCACTACTTCTTTACGTGACAGGTTACTGGCGTTCTTCTCTGTAAAAGAAAGTTTAAAAAAATAGTTGTTTTTTTTAATATCTGGCGGATAACGCGCATTCGTGTTTCATGTAACTTATACCTATAGTATTTATTCTCAAATTCCGTTCTGATTTAAAAATTATATCATGTAAGCAGAACGATTTTGTCCTAGAAAATGCCAATAAAGAAATAAAGCATTAATGGAAGTAAAACGTAGTCTTTGGCAATTGTTATTACTGAAGAAACAACGATGAAAATTTCGATGAATATGCCCCGTAGAAGTGCGTCAACAACATATACCTAACCACACAACCCTATTTGAAGATTATTCTTCCAATAAGTCAGAGAGACTGTAACGAAGAAGGATCAAGAATGCCTCGTTGTAAATTTAAATATTGCCAGTGTTATTCATGTAGAGTTATTCTTTACCTGATTGTGCCACCTCCACTTTCTCGGCTCTTTTTTCGTTTTCCTCCACATCATTTGTCTGTTCTCTATACCCAACTGTAGCAATAAAAAGAATGCGATATGTAGTGTGTGCGGTGATTATTTAAGTACCTAATATTGCCTATTATGAATATATATATATATATATATATATGACAGCAGCAACCCTGCCTTGCATTAGGGATTATCCCTAATCGACGCGCGATTGTCAATTACGGATTATCCCTAATTCAAGCTCGAGGACATGTTGGAGTGTAGCTTCGCCAGACACTGACCTCTCTCGAGCGAAAGCAGGCTGGTCACGTGAAGATCTCCCAGTCTACCCTCGGCACCGGCGTCAGTCATTCCTTCGCTGAACATCCGCCGATTGTCCCCAGTGTCGTCGATGACGACCTCAGCGTTGGCCTGAACGCGGCCATTTCTGGAATAAACGCGCCAAATTTGTGAGACAAACAGCACATGTATATATGATGTGTATGCATGTGTGTGTGTGTGTGTATGTGTGTGTGTGTGTGTGTGTGTGTGTGTGTGTGTCTGTCTGTCTGTCTGTCTGTCTGTCTGTATGTATGTATGTATGTATGTATGTATGTATGTATGTATGTATGTATGTATGTATGTATGTAATGTATGTATACCTCCGCTGCACATAATAATAGACAGTCTTATACCGAACTCTGGCAGAGCGAACCGAGAAGCAGCGAACATGCACACCCTAGGTTTAAAAAAGAATAAAATTTAAATAATTTATAACGTGAGATATAAAGATGGAATAAACGAATGGAGAATGATATAGACGGTCGGTGTGTTCTAATCTTTACGCGTTTCTCACGAAGCGGACATTGCATGTGTAACTTACTTATTCTCGAAGCCCGTAATCTTCACGTCTTTCATGCCGGAGACGGAGTGCTCCTGCAGCTCATCCTCAAGCTACAATAACAAAGATTTCGCAAGATGTTACAAACGGATGAAGTTAGAGACGCTAATACGTTTCGGAGAATGCGGCATATTTTACGCTTATCTGTCCATGATATTTTATGATGTGAGATTATGGATGTAGGTTAGTCCACAGATTGATTGTTGGAAGTGCTCTTAGAAGGTAAATGAAGTAAGTCCCCGCTCCAATGTAGAGCATAGAAATTTCACAAAGGCCGCAGATTCGTTTCTGTTGAAATTTATTTAATTACGATAATTATAAAGGCATAAAGCTTAATCAGGAAAAATATGGCTGACGGTTGTGTGCCAGAAATTCAGAAACTGATAACAGTGAACCGGAAATTATTTATTATTAGGCTGAATTAATATATAAATACTTTACACATGTCTCGACTAGCCATCTATAGATTAATTGCCCACTTTACTTGCAAGATTTTACTTCGAAATGGTTTCTTTATAGTGAATCGTCTTACGTTTAGCTCCACGTGGTTTTGGTAGATGGCGAACTCTGGTGCTTTGGTGTCAGATAGTTCCTTTCTCCACGGCTCATTCAGCAGGAATACAACCGCATATTTAGCTTTGTCGTACGTTGGGGTCGTTCCTTCTGCACCTTCGATAGACTGGCTCCGGTCCTGACCGTGCCATCCTGCGGAGCAAGAAAGTGGTGGGAAATTAATTGATATTAAAATGTCAAATAAGGAGCCAATTAGTGAGCCATTGGTCATACAACATAAAGCACCAAATCTTCTGAAAGACATTTTTGGATACGTGTGCGCACAACACCTGTATTGTCTAGAGTAAGACGCAACTATATAGGACTGATTGTCGACCTAGAAATCATTAGGTATTTAATGCCGGAAACAACGAACGAAAAGGCCCTGGTAAATTCACCTATCTGCCTGGCACGATTGACAGGTAGCTCTAGCCAATCAGCACTACCACAGATGCGTTCTTAGACCTGTGCTTAGCAACGGCGTGCCGCAGAGGTAATTTGGCATGCACGCGCGAAAAAAAAAACACACGAAAAAACACGTGCAACTGGCCAAGCTTGGTCCGCCTAGCAACAGTATCTAGGGGAGGCGTGGTTATCTCATTACGACAGACGTCGCGAGCGGGGCTTGCGGCTACACACTGCCTCTCGCAGCAGCCGCTAGGTGGCTACGTCTACGCCGCCTGGTACATGGTATCCGACGCGCTAGCGTAGTCACTACGTATAAAGACCTTGTACATAATTGACACATACCTCTGCAGGTGTCAATGCAGATTTTGTCATCACTGACGGCCGGGTTGCGGCGATGACGAGAGATCGAATCCGTACTGCCCTCAAAGTATTCGGCGCTGTCGTAGGGGAACAGCAAGTACAGACAGTCCGTGAACTGCAAATCGTTATTGTCGCCTGGCAACGAAAAGAATTCATGATGAATTGGACGAAGTAATCTCGTTTTATTTTTTTATTTTAGGTGGACGGGGGTAAAAATTAAATTAAACATGCGAGTACATTACAGCTTACACATATAGCAATTTACGTATGCGGGAGGGGGGCAGGTTGACGGTAGAGTACTTCCATTCTCGGTCAGAGTAAATTAAATGAGCTTGGGCTATAGCAAGTATAAAAAATAGATTACTTTTGATTAGGTTTATTAACGCCATGTATACTTTGCAATAAAACATGATATGGTACGTCGCACGATCGACATACGAGCATATGATATGAGCTACAGCTATAGCACACTGTAGAGAGCCAATCCATTGATTGTTATTCCTAGAGTAGGTTATATATTGGAGGGCGATATACATACATTTTAAAATAAAGGTGCATTTAGGTGAAAATTGAAATTCAAAAAAGAAAATTGAACGATTGATCGACTTTTAAAGTTAATGTAAATTGTGAAATTTTAAACTAAACTAATCATAAACGATAATCGAAATCCTATTGTTAAAAAAATATAACTTTATTTTTAAAGGGAAGTTCGTGAAAGAAACAAGTGGCCCTCCTGGTTTTTCTGCAGCACAGCGCACCAGATCTACAACATGGCGTCACGTTTTTCCACTTACCAGTATCAACCGCTCGAGAGAAGTTTAATGTTGTAATGCCATCAAACAGATTTGCACTCCTTCTGATTATATTCTGTGGTTCAACAATGGTGGGTGGTCCGTACGCTGGCATTAGCCTGTTAACAACATATTAGACGAACTGATATTTAACGATTGAACTTTCGCTTATTATTCATAGATTGTGTATACAAAACATTAAACAATGTGCGGGTAAAAATTTTTTTTATCGTGGTATTATCCAAATTTACAATTATAATAATCCAATTATTTTTCGCTGATGATCGAAATCATCTCAATGGGTGAGCAAGTAAAGAGAGGTTACGCTAATACGTCTCCAATGATTTATCATGTCGGTAAAGATTTCTACTGGTAGGCGCTTACCCGTCATACATCTTCATGCCGCCATTAGGGGTCACCCATCCGAAGACAACGTCCGAATCCGTCTGCAAAAACAAAAAGGCCGCGTACACGCTTGTCCTCGCAATTATCTTTAATCGAATGTTCTTTTTTGTGTAACATACTGCTTTTAGACTTTTAATTACACACACGCGCGCAAGCGCGCACACACACAAACACTCTCCCCCCCCCCACACACACAGACGCACACGCACACACATACACACGAACGCACGCACGTACGCACGTGCGCGCGCGCACACACACACACACACACACACACACACACACACACACACACACACACACACACACACACACACACACACACACACACACACACACACACACACACACACCCTCTGGCTCGCTGTAAGGAAGAACATGTATATAATAACCAATACTACTCTATATCATATCTATCTAATCGTAATTTATTCTTATCAACTATCTAATTACATATCTACTATCTAATTTTATCTATCTCATCTATCTATCATATCTATATATATATAATATATATATATATTATATATAGTATCTATCTAATCTATCTATCTCATCTATAATAATAATATATATATTATATATAATATATA